GGCGAACAGACCGAGGGGGACCCCCCCCCACTCCCAAAACGCGATCGCAAACGGAACAAGGGGGGCCCCACTCTCTACCTCGCACCGGGCCCTGCATCAGCTAAGGACGGCCTTGTGTGTGTGTGTGTGTTTTAAGAGTTGTATTGAGGTACAGCCACATTTACCGCTGTTTAGAGAATTTTTATGGACAAAATCCAGTCATTTCAATTAGGGCTGTCAAAATGGCTGAAAAACTAAATTCGAATTTGGTACTTAAATATTATCAAAATTCGAATTATATTCGAATTTTCAAAATGCATAATTTCAGTTAGGGTGAAGAAAAGCTTTTGGCTTCTCTCCTGAGGCCAAAAGAGGGCGCATCATTCAAAGCATAAGATAACATGACTGACTATCTGCAAAAAAAGTGCATAATGTTTAAAATCATGTTTATAAACCAATTATAATTAAGTTGCTTAAACAACTATAAACAAAACAGCATCATGTATGTATGCATAGTTTAATACAAAGGGCGGAAAGCCAATCACACGGAGTACATTTTTTATTAAAAACATGAGATGCAGTGGGATGGGGATAACCCCGCCATAAAGTCTCGATATATGTTTTTTTCAAAGTTAAACTTGCGATGTAAAGAAAGCCATGTAAATTAATTTTACATGGCTTTCTAAACATAAATCATCGCATCTCGTGCGCCGCTGATAAGGCTGCCTCCTTAACGCACACCTAAAATTCAAATGCATCGTTTTTGCATTCGAATGTGGATTTTTGTTTTAAATTCGACGAATATTCGAAATTCGATTTTTTTTTTTGACGGCCCTAATTTCAATAGGAATCCATGCGATTGGCAGTTTTGCGTGAGGGATGCAGATTTCGCAACAGATTCAGATTGGTCACAAATTTGCTGCTTGGTTTGACTTTTGAGACTTCTGTGTGAGCTGTGCTTCATAGATTACTACACTATTGACAGTAGACAATGGAATTTTTTTGTTTGCGAAATTTTGCCAAAAATTGGTGGTAGTGAATGAATCTTTACATTGAAAACTTTTTTATTCGCAATGGATGGTCGCTTATTTGCTGAGGGGATACTATACTGTTGAAAACAGACAAAGAAACTTTTTTTTTTCCAACAAAATTTCAGTAATGTGTCCGTAATGCTACGAGCATTTCACATTTGCAAAAAAAAAAAGTCCCTCAGTTTTAGGAAATTTAAGTCTTAAATATATTAAATTGTATAACAAATGTCTTAATTGGGGGATGGAAGAACAGGAATTGTGAAACTGCCTAATGTTATTAAACTTAAAAAGGTTATGATTTAATTAAATAAATATGTAAAAATAAATCAAGTAAAAATGTAGCGCTATTGCGTGTTCTACAGGCTCATTGTTTCAGAGCAGTTCACAATCAACAAAAACGCACATTTATGGTAATTGCTTACGATCGACTGTTGATGAATTTTGACACTGTTTATTTTTTGGTGTTTATATTAGGCAGTTGCAAGAGTGCATATTTTTATCACCCGCATCTATTTAAATGATCGGCCAGTATATAGACATAATAAAAAGTAGAACATATAGATTTCAAAATAAGAGTCCCAGTGTATTTCAAGGCTTGTAATTAAAAATCCTTTTTTTTCCCGTTTAATATTGGTATTTCGCAAATGTGGCCACACCTTTAGTTTAAAATCTGACGTTTAATTTGCAGTGCATGGTCTTGCAAGAACTTTTCTCCTTCCTTATTTCCTTGTGCTTAAAGAAACAACTTCCTGGTGAATGTTATTTGATATTTTCCTTTATTTCAGGGATTTGGATCAGTGTTTTTGTGAACTCTGTGATAAAATACGCTCCCACTAGGCTCTCAGTCTTGCCTGAGTTCCCGTCTGGCACAGTTATCTGCTCGGTCCTTATTTGTTTACACAATCCTTTTATCTGTTCCTGAGGGGCAGCAGTGGTTTAGTCAGTGGGAAAAGTGAGTGTGGATGTGAGATGCGTCTGCTGCTTTAGTCTTATCTGAATGATTCTCAGGGCTCTAACTGGTGCTGTAACAATGGGCAGTCAGGGCAGAGGCATTCTCCAGAGTCCAGTCACAGCCGCATATCACCCCGCTGAGAGGAAGTCAGCCTGTGCCGTACTTCCTGTTGGCTTAGACGCGACATTCAGGAACTGCACACAGCACTGCTCCTGGCTACGTCCTCTGTACTGAAAGCACAAATAATGTGACCCGTATTGCTCTGTCCAGTGCTTTCTCTAATGTTTCGGGGTTACATTTACATTCAGAGTTTACATACATATTTATAGCATTATGTATTGCGTATTTATTCAGCTATACATTGAGGATTTAATATATTATAAATATACATTTAGGATTGATACATATATACAACCACTCAAAAGTAAGTTTTTAAAAAAAATGTTTTTAAAGAAGTCTCTTATGCTCACCAAGGCTGTATTATTTTTGGATCAAAAATACAGTAAAAACAGTAATACTGTGAAATGTTAATACAATTTAAAACAACAGTGTTCTATTTGAATATGCTTTAAAATGTCATTTATTTTTGTGATGACAAAGCTGAATTTTCAGCATCATTACTCCAGTCTTCAGTGTCACATCCTTCAGAAATCATTCTAATGTGCAGATTTCATCCTCAAGAAACATCTGACCCCAAACTTTTGAACAGTAGCATATATTTTATATGCTTTATAAATTATATACATTTGAATTTAACATATATATTTAGAATTTGGATTGATACTTATATTTTCAAATTTTTTTTATTTAATTTACATATTTTAACTTACATTATTAATTATGTTTTTTATTTTTATATTTTAAATTACGTATTCATGTTTACAAGTCAAGATTTTTCCAACTATATATTCATATTTACAACTCAATATTCAGATTTAAAAATCTATGATTTACAACTCTATATTACGATTTGACGATATGGTTACATGTTACACAAAATCCTACTACATAATTTTCACATGACTTAGTAATTAGTATGATTAAGTAAATAAATGAAGTATTCATTTATGCATGTTGCAAAATAAAGACTCCTTAAGTATATGTACTGCAGTAGTAAGTAAAGTGTTATATATGGGGTGGTTAGGCCAGTTTCTCTTAATAAAGCTATTATATCATATACATTTAAGTGATTGGTAAGCACAGCAAAGAAACATTTTTCCCATTCCCTCTGCTAGAGTATGTATGCCATGTTACCGGAGCTGCTGGATAGTAACCCTTTTTCTGAGAGCAGTCAGCTGCGCATGCCTGCGGGGGTCATTCAAATCCTGGACGTCCTGAAGGAGGCACTGCACCTGCTCAACACTTTCCAGGTGCACAGCGAGATCACATCTCAACTGCTGACCTACCTGTTCTTCTTCACCAACGCCTCGCTCTTCAACACGCTCATGGAGAGAGGTGAGCACACGCACTCAACGTCCTTCCGAGGACCTGTTGCACAAGCCGTTTACACCAAAGCCACAGTGGCTACAACATGTAAGGCGAGAGAGCGTGGTGTGAACTACTTTGTTTAACCGTCTGTTCTCACTCCAGTGGTCTTGATACTTCGTTTGGACAGGAATTTTTCACAAGGGTGTGAGTTTTACAAAGTGAATATTTGCACCTAGGTGTAAATAACACTGGCTGCATAGCACAGCTCTTTGCATGACAATAGTCTGCTGGAGCCGGACAAGATTATGACAAAATGTAAATTGGTTTAGTTTGAATTGAGATTGAGAGCTATAATGAATAGCATGCTACCTCTAGCACTGATTGAGACTTCTGAATAAATAGTGATATGGTTGTTTTTTAAGGGTCTGGAGGTGGCTTCTACCAGTGGTCTAGAGGAGTGCAGATCCGGGCCAACCTGGATTTGCTAATGGACTGGATTCAGAGTATTGGCACGGGAGATTTGGCTGCTGACTTCTTCCAGAGGCTCTCTTCAGCTGTCAACCTGCTCGCAACTCCCAAGGAGACCCTACTGCAGGTCAGAAACCCTTTGAACTGCTTCACAAATGCTTACACAGATACAAATACAAAGTATTTACAAATGTATTGCACTAGAGATGTGCCTTTATTCTGCAATTCTGCTGCCATGCTCATGTACTCATACACAATAAAATGCTCTTGCACCAAAAAAAAACAAAAAACACTTAACTATACAGAATAAAAACAACATTCAATTTAATAAACGCACAGCAGAGCAAATTGCCATAATAATAACAATATTTGTACATTTTGTAAATGGATATTTTGAAGACAGTATTGAAGCCTTTACGTTTTTAAGACCATTAAGATTAATAATGCATCCTAATGAGAAGATTGATTGATTGATGAGAATTTTGTTTCATTGCATTCAAATGCATTGCGTTTCATTTTCTGTAAGCAAAATATAATTTCCTTAATTTTGGGTCAAATTTTGATTTGGACTATTTGAGGTGAACCTACCCAATATGTTGTTTCTTATTGTCATGGATAACCTGGAAATTTCATGGAATTTTAAAATAGTTCTTTTTCCAAATATGGAGAATTCATTAAATTAGTACAATTTTATACATCATGGAAGGTTTGTTTGTTTTGTTTTGTTTATTTATTTATATAGCACAGTTTAATGCAACACCAGGTTGCCCAAAGTGCTTCACAAGCAAAGCAAAATATAATTTCCTTAATTTTGGGTCAAATTTTGATTTGGACTATTTGAGGTGAACCTACCCAATATGTTGTTTCCTATTGTCATGGAAAACCTGGAAATATCAGGGAATTTGTTTTTTTCCAGATATGGAGAAGTCATGAAAATTAGTAAAATCTTAAACATCATTGAAGTTTATATAGTGAATATAAATTGGTAACACTTTACAATAAGGTCCTATTGGTAACATTACTTAATGCATTAACATTGAATAATAATGGGAAATTAATTAGTTACAGTTACATTTACATTTAGTCATTTAGCAGACGCTTTTATCCAAAGCGACTATATATATATATATATTATATACACACACACACACACACATATACACACACACACACACAAACAAAGAAAAATAAGTAGATAGAATAGAAAAAATAGAAAGCTAGTTTTTGTTTTTTGTTGTTTTTTTTTAATAAAGAATAAAAAATAATAAAAAAAGATAAATATAGATAAAGTAGAATTAAAATAGAATAGAAAGTGTTACTCTTTTAGATGGCACAATAATACGCCGTTCACTTGCAGAATGCAAGCTTCTAGAGGGCACATAATTCTGAAGTAATGAATTTAGGTAAATGGGTGCAGAGCCAGTGGTGGTTTTGTAGGCAAACATTAATGCCTTGAATTTAATGCGAGCAGCTACTGGTAGCCAGTGCAAACTGATGAACAGAGAGGTGTGACATGCAGTTGTTGTTAATCTTTTTAAATATATGTTTTAATACAAATACAACTGTTCATTGTTAGTTTGTTAGCTCAGGTCCGTTAAATAATATATTAACAGATACGACTTTTTGATTTTAACGTAATAATTTGAATGTAGTAGTAAATGTTGTTAACTAATGAAGTTACCTAATGTCATCAAATGGAACCATATTGTAAAGTTTTGCATAATTTTTGTTGTTGTTATACTCTGAAATTTTCCATCAGTTAGATATTGCTCTTATCAGTAAAAGTTGCTTGCAAGCCATAGTGTTGTGAGAAAATTGTTCTCTTGAATTGCTTTTAATGAATTAGTCAAAACAGTTCATTAGTGATTCATTAGTGAATCAGTCTAAATCATTTTTAAATGTCCTTATTAGGAAATGCATTGGTCGTGTGGGAACCCTGGGTATCGAAGACTACCAAAAGAAATTGTGTACTGTACTTGCTTGGTGTGTCAAAAATGGTGTTGGTGCATTCCTATATTGTCTGTTCAGTTTCCTTTTGATGAACATCTTGTTCTAGTTTCACTAAACTGTGAATAAGGCAGCTCTTTAGTTGCAAAGAAGAATGAATTTGGGTTTGACAGCAAGGTGTGTTGGAGGTTATAATCTGGGTTTGACTGCTGATTTGACAGCTTGTGAGTATCAGTTATCCTGATAAAGCCCTTTATTGGTCATCAAGCAGCCACTAGGACTATAAAAATGACGTGATGTTTCAAGAAACGCTAAGCTAACCTGTTTCACAAGCCGACAGCATTGCCTGAGGTATCAGCTTAATTCAATAAAACCGCATGATGGCATCAATCTCATGACAAAGGTCATATTTACATCTTGAGTCATGCAGTTTTTCTGTACATTACATAAATAAAACCCCGTTGAGCTTGTCAGAACATGCCAATGGATCCATCTGTGAACGGTTTGTCATGTAATCCTAAATAATATGCATTATTCAGTTAAGTCATCACAATGTAGACGGAGCGCCGCAAGCAGGAGAGACTTTAGTACCTGGATGAACAGGAAATAGAAGAACTCAAAACAGCTGTTTGTCTGGTCCTAAACCTGTTAACTTCCTTCAGAAGCCATTGTTTACTCTTTTGTGCATAAGGAAATGAGTTTCTCTCATAGCTTATCATACCATAAAACAAAGGCACAATAACAGAGGACAGTACAAAGTTTACAGCACGCCACCCAAACACATCCTGTGCCGCGGGGGGTTTACAGGTCTCGTGAAGCGGCTCACGGCGGTTGAGAGTCTGACTGTCATTTGACTGGTGAACTTTGACCTTTAAGGCTCTTAAGCTTTCAGGGTGTCACACAGCAGACGTGAGAGCCAGATTACAGCTCTGGGTGGGAGGGGCTAGTATGATCTCACTGTCTTGAATGAGCTGAGTTTACTTTAAACACGCTCCAAACAAACACATACGTGACTCACTCTCACATGACCGCTCTGTTTATTTGTTCTGCATTCTGCCGTCAACCATAAATGCACTTTGAACAGTTTGAAACTGTAAATGAAGTGTTTTTCAAAAACAACATTTCCTAATTAGATTAAGGGTGTTTCTAATCCACCAAACTCAACACAGTATTTCTGCCTTTTCTGAAATAGTATGCTTTATTCTAACTGATTGGAGTTTTTCTGTATCTGTCTAAAGCTGCTTTTTCATTATCTCTGACAAACAACAGACCAACAGATGTTCATTTCCAGTGGAGAGTAGAACAGGAGGTCTGATCATACAGTATGCATATGCAAGATTTTCAGATCTGATTTGAGCTTCAGGTGAATTTAAATATTTGAACTTTTGTGGCTAGACTGTGTGCAAGTGTTTCCTAAAGCTATGAGCACGAAGTGAAAATGGCCAATATTTTTTCCACTAAATGCTACTCTTTAGACACTATTTCCATAATGGGTGATTGAATAGTTATGTCCAAAATAATATCCATCCATCTTTTCTTCAAACTTATCCTTTGTAGGGTTGTGGGATGTCTGTAATAATTATTACATAATTATTTACATTGATAAGCCCTAGAAAACCTAGTATGCTTTACTTTCAAACATATATTCACAATTGTTTTGTGTGGATATATTCATGCATTCATTATTCATTTATTTTACACTGATGAATAAGCAGAGGGTAACGGCTGCTTCACAACTATTTTTAAAGTTTGGTGCGACTGCCACTAGGGGATGAAATGCAACAGTGTTGGAGCCAGTTTAAGACTTTTCACACTACACTTAACTCTAGCTTAATGTATTTTTACGCCTTGAGTATATGTGAATTTTAACGTTGAGTTAAGCAATGTTTCACACATTTCCACAAATGGACAATCGGTAATTTAAACAGGTTGCGTGCTGGTCAAGGATTCGTTGACCCAGGATTTTGCATGCCATGAAATTAACAGTTGTAAATAGCTGTGTTTCCATTACCCTTCAAATTGCGCAAATTGAAATTGCGAATTGAAAATACGCCTAATGGAAACGCATCAATTTTGCAAAAAACGCCCATATATCGCAAAAAAATTTATGCTCGCATGAGGTGGTTTTTCAGGCAATCCGAAAAAGGAATATTTCGCAAAACTGCAATGGAAATGTTTATTTCCGCATTTTCAAATCACATGGCATACCGAAAAAGTCATATGGTCATTTTTCAACGTACTATAACCTTTAAGAAACATGTCATACGTGGCCGATCTCAAGTATAAGGGGCTTTCCTTGCCATTAATGTTTGGATAACCCCTTGTTTACACTGCATTATGGCTCTGACACGGCCAGCAGAGCTGATTGCGGCCACTCTAGTTAATGCTGGTGTTTATACCAACCGTGCCATGGCACGTTTCAGAAGAGGCACTCCATTTTGTGCAAATCTGTAATGGAAACGCAGCTAATGTGAAAGGGTATTTTGCCTAGCAACACCTTATCAACCAAACAGACAACCTTAGTAACCACCTAGTAACTACTTAGCAGCCATACAGCAATACCATAGCACTTTCCTAGGAACACAACTCTCTACAACATAGAACATTTTAGCAACGCCCTGGCAATTGCCTAAGAAAGTTCTAGCAAGAGTCTAGCACACCCTGCCAACTACTCAGAACACTGCAGCAATCGCTAAATCTATCTCACTCATAATGCTGTATAGATCTTAAACTACTTAAAATACACAAGGGTGATTTAACCTTCAGACTTCTAGGTGTTTGAAAACTTTCGACAACTCTAGCCAACATTAAAGTTTGTCTTGAGGAGCTGTACCGTTCTAGCTAATAATATTAGCACATGTAGCACTTGTCGAGACAAATGAGACCGCATATGTCTGTCAGTATCATCCAGTGTGCAATTACTGAATGTTAACTTCTTCTATCCTGTCAACAAACAATGGTTGCATGTCACAGTTACTAGGAGACTGGTTGTTACGGTTCCACCCATGGCATGAGGTCACAGTTTGTGGTTTGTAAAACAACCATTTTTGCACATAGTTTCAGATGTCTTTTCCCCTTTTCCATCCATCTATTCTGGGACAGTCATCCAGACTCTTCAGCCTGTTGCTTGTAAGTGTCCATAGCAAAGAAACATCACAAAATGACTTCTCTTTAATGTCTCAGTTATTCTTTTAGACAGCAATGAGATTAAATGAAAAGTAATAATAGACATTTTCTTAAGAAAAAAAACTAGCAAATGTGTCCCTCAACAAGTGTATTAAACTGTGCTCTCAGGTTTGTCAAGTCTGCAAACAAAATCTTAAATATTTATCATCAAATGTATTCAAGATACATCAATTGTCTCATTTGTGCCTATGTTTAAGGAACCTCAGGAGGAAACAAATTTGATACATCCAACATCTAGACCTGTTGTACTTATGGGATTGGGTTCTAGTATACCCTTTTCGTATTCCAGTTATACTCCAAACTGGTGTCAGATCAGTAAAACGGGTACCTTATACCAGACCTGGCTTCATTAAATATTTAGCATTCTTTTAATGCACATGGTTGAAAGCAACAACATGACTGTGTTTTGACTTTAGTCAGTCTCGTGGCTTTTCCAGACTAATGTGACACCACCCATCACGTGTTTGAGGCTTTTCTCAAAAATGTCTGTGCATCAGCTAAAACTTTCTCACTACATTCATCCTAGAACAGTTCATTACTTAGATTTATATGTAATTGGTAAATGCAATTAAGCAATTACCTGTAAAATATACATTTATCCTTTAAAATATTGTCTTATATATTTTAAATATGATAGTGTTTTTATGTTTTTGCACAAGACATGTGAACTGTATTCTTTATTCAAATTAAACTGAATGAAACACTGAAAATATAAACAAATATAGCGTTAATAAAGATGAACTCTCAGCTGAATTAAACTAAGCTGTAACCTTAACCATGTGCCAAACATATCCTGTCAGCTTCTGCAGGAGTCTGTTGTGCTGATGAGTTTGTACAATGTTCATTCCCAGCCGCTGTTTCCTAAATTTTGTGAAGAGACTGGTTTAATTACATACAAGTACTGGATGTTGTTTTGTTCTGGATTCAAAATGACACAGAGGAAAACACTACCCTGTTATTAAGATCGACTATTCTTAAGACACCACTAAAGGAGAATGAAAACAAATGTGGAGAACTGTCCTTTGTTTAAGTGTTTTGGCTGTATTTCCTTTGTGGTATTTTAAATATGTTTTGTTTGTTCGAGAATAGAGTTTGCTTGTCAAATCAAGGCATATGTCATTACAAATGATGTACCCTTGCGAAATGAATAATTGTATACCTATTTTTTTTTTAATCAAAAATACTAGAAACTGGTGTGTCCACCCTTTTATTCTCATTATTGCATAGAAATAAACTGAGAGTACATGATATTTGACCAGGGTTGCATTTCTCTGCTTGTTTTACTTGAAATTAGTGCTGCTTTTGACAGTATAGAACACAACAATATTCCATATTGTGTTAACATTTCTAAACGGGCACTTGCCTATTTTAGATTCTAATAGTTAGTTTGTGTAAATTTTAACTGTGTAAAATATGGTGCTCCGATGCTAAAGAAGGGTATTCCACAAGGCTCAGTCTTAGGTCCTTTGGTTTTCTCCTTGTACATACTCCCTTTGGGTGATATTATTAGAAAACGTGGTTTCATTTTCATTGTTATGCAGACTATACACAGCTTTCATCTAAATTGATCTGTGTGATCTGTGAATGTTCGCACCAACTGATGGCAGTTTTGCTCCAACACTTACATTACTTATGTCCTGAATAGAGTTAACTGTGCTGAGAAATTTGTGCATGGAGTTGTTTGAAATTGCCATTACTCACTGAGCTCAGCACAGTTTGTCCCAAAAACTAGTTTTATGTGTGAATTTTTGGCCCAATCACAACCAGGTCCCCTGCAGATTAATTCTTCTATGCATCTGTATGTGTGTTTACAGGCATCATGGTGCACTCTGAGAGCTGAGTTTGTTCATCTGAACCCTGCACAGCTGCATCACATGCTGAGAGAGTACAACACAGCTCGGATGTGCCCTCTATGCTGGACGCCATCTCCAGAGGATGCAGCAGCTGCCCTCAATACCTGTGAGCCCAAATATGAACACACAAACACTTTGTTTTGTAACTGGATGATACAATGACAATATTTAACCATTGTCATTTCCAAAATCTCTTGTAAAGCACCATTTCTTTTTTTTAACATATAGTGAAGTGAATTATTGTTTAATTTATTTTATAAGATTAGGCTCGAGTGATGTCTTAAATGCTTTTCTTTAGCTCACTGTGATTCTCTGTTCTTCTGCCTGAGTGCCTGACAACAAAAATGTTTTCTCTTAGCTAATATCCTGGAAAGTTTCGACAACCATCCTCCTCTAATCCTGCCCAGCAGCATTTTTAATCTGGAGCTGGGAAATCCCATCACAGAGCCAGGGTTGTTCACTCCTCTCCGGCATCTGCAGGAGTTTATCAAGTCTCTCCCAGACAGCCAGACACAGTCTGACCATCAGCCCTCACAGGTAAACCTCCTCCATGCTGTTAACTCCCTACAGACGCCACGGAAAATCAACAGACATTTATTGCAATGGTTTAAAACATATATATATATATATATATATATATAAAATATTGGCACGTTTTTAACCATGGTAAAATAGAGAATTTATTTTAACTGTGGCGCACACCCTTGAGTGACTTTTTTGCATTTATAAAACAGCATAAACAACAGTTAGATAAATGATGCCAATATTCAGTATAATTGCAAGTTTATAACTAAAAAAAAAAATTCCAAGTCATATAAGTGTAATTCATAAGCTTAAAGGCATAGTTCACCCAAAAATGAAAATTCATCATTTATTCACTCTGTCGTTCCAAACCCACAAGACTTTTGTTCATTTCTGAAACACAATTTTAAGGTAGTTTTAACAGGAAACCTGAGAGATTTCTGTCCCTCCACTGAAATTCAATTCCACCAAAGCAGTCAAGCTCCAAAAAGGTCATCAAAGCATCATAAAAAGCAATCCTTCTGACTCCAGTGGTTGAATCCCAATTTTATGAAGCAACATAAAAGCGTATTTCCTAAATCATCTTGACTTTGCATAGTTATCTGATGCACATTCACAAGAAACAGTGATGCATGCGTGTCATTTTGACATGAGAGTGGACGTTTTGACGGTTCAAGCAAATTAGCAGCTTCAAACAACGGCTTCAAACGCAGTTCAGTCAGAATGTAGAGTTGAAACTGTTATAAAATAAATTACAGTATGAACAAATCATTTCTACACTCAAACATACAGTAATATGGACTTTTGTACATTTATAAATAAAGAGTGGTAGAGTCCTATGTGGCATCCTGTTACCATTGGTTTCCCGCCTCCTCTTTTTAAAGACTAGTGTGGATTTTCCTAATCAAAGAGACTCTGTTTAGACCACACTAGTTTTGGTCGCTAATTCATTCCGCTTTTTTGGTTGTGGCACAAATCCTATAATCTGGTTCAGGAATTATAGAGAGGTGGTGATGTCAGGAGAAAAAAGAGCAGTGGCTAAAGCATCATGGGAATTTACAGTTGGCTTGCTGGCTGGAATCTTAATCGGGACAGGCATTGTTCAGGACGCTGGCCGGGTGGCCGAGCGCTGGAGGAAAACCCTGTGTTTCCACCAACCCAGAGCAGATCTTTATGATAACATGGGTTCATACTTATGTATCAGATACTATCATATACTGTGAAAATCGACATCTGTCAGTTGACTACTTTGATTTTTCAATTCGACTTTCATTTTGACTGTCATGAAACTCAGAATTGCGAGTTTATATCTCTCAATTATGACTTTTTAACTCGCAATTGCGAGTTTATATCACGCAATTCTGAGAAAAAAAGTCAGAATTGTGAGATAAAAAGTCGCAATTACCTCTTTTATTTTTTATTCAGTGGCGGAAACGGGCTTCCATAGATTTTAAATTTGAAAAGGGAGAAAAAAATTTCGCCAAAAGGCAGATTCGAACCCGGGTCGATCGCGTCAAAAGACGATACTTTATTTTCAACTTTTTGATTATTTCCTTCAATTTTATTAAAAATAAATGCTTTCTGATGTGATTTGTATGGAAGCCCGTTTCCGCCACTGAAAAAGAAAAAAAAAAAGGTAATTGCGACTTTTTTTCTCGCAATTGCGAGTTTATATCTCGCAATTCTGACTTTTTTTTTCTGAATTGTGAGATTTTTTCTCAGAATTG